TCTGACAGAGGTGGTGAGTTTTCCTCCGACCTCTTGAGGACCTTCTGTCAGGCGGAGGGCATCGAGCAGACCTTCACGCTTCCGGACTCCCCACAGCAGAATGGGGTTGCTGAGCGCCGCATTGGCCTGGTCATGGAGGTCGCTCGTACCTCCTTGGTCCACGCGGCGGCTCCCCATTTTCTGTGGCCGTTTGCTGTCCGGTACGCCGCGCATCAGCTCAACCTCTGGCCCCGTGTCTCCTTGCCGGAGACCTCGCCCACACTGCGTTGGACGGGGGAGGTTGGCGATGCGTCGCGCTTCCGGGTGTGGGGTGCTCGTGCCCTTGTCCGCGATACGTCCGCGGACAAGCTCTCCTCCCGCACGCTTCCCTGTGTCTTCCTTGGCTTTGTCCCTGACGCGCCTGGCTGGCAGTTTTACCACCCCACCTCGCGCCGGGTCTTCGCCTCTCAGGATGTCACCTTTGACGAGTCGGTCCCTTTTTACCGTCTCTTCCCCTACCGCACTGCCCCCCTCCCTCCCCCGCCGCTTTTCCTTGCTCCTGGTCCCCCTCCGGTAGACCCCCTTCCCCCTCAGGGTCCTGCTCCTTCAGGTGTCTCTCAGGTAGACCCTCCTCCCGTCGCTGAGCCTGTCGAGGTCACAGGTGACTCAGGTGCTGCTGCGGGTGGTGCTGCTGGGAGTGCTGAGCCTGGGGGTGCTGAGCCTGGGGGTGCTGAGCCTGGGGGTGCTGGGCCTGGGGGTGCTGGGGCTGCAGGTGCTGGGACTGAGGGTGCTGGAGCTGAGGGTACGGTGCCTGAGAGTACGGAGCCTGGGGGTGCTGCGCCTGGGGGTGCTGAGCCTGCGGGTGCGGGGCCTGGGAGTGCTGGGACTGCAGGTGCTGGAGCTGAGGGTACTGTGCCTGAGAGTTTGCCGCCTGGGGGTGCTGAGCCTGGGGGTGCTGAGCCTAGGGGTACTGAGCCTGCGGGTACTGAGCCTGGGGGTGCTGCTACTGAGCCTACGGAGCCTCGGGTTACTGCGTCTGGGGGTGCTCCGGTTCGGGGTGCTGAGCAGTCTCTCACACCGCAGCAGCTTCGTGACTGGTACGTCCGACGCTTTCGCCGTCCTAGTGGCTCGGCTGGAGTTGGGGGTGCTGGAGCTGCTCGTCCTGGGGGTGCTCGTACTGGGGGTACTGGAGCTGCCGGGACTGGCTGTTCTGGGAGCACTGCGACTGGAGCTGCTGGAGCTGGGGACTCTGGCACTGGCGGTGCTAGCGGAGTTGGAGCTGCCGACTCTGGGGGTGGCGCTGCTGCTGGTGCTGCGGACCCACCTGGTGGAGCTGCTGCTGGTGCTGAGGAGTCGGACGGTGGAGCTGCTGCTGGAGCTGGGGACCCGGCCGGTGGAGCTGCTGCTGGTGCTGTGGACCCGGACGCTGGAGCTCCTACTGGTGCTGAGGACCCGGCCGCTGGAGTCCCTTCTGCTTCTGGAGACGCTGCGCGGCCGCGACCGTACTTCGTACCGCTCCTTCAGCAGGTTCTTGGGCAGGCTCCTCCTCCTTGTCCTCCTCCCTCCGTAGAGTGTCCTCCGCCTGTCCAGCCGCAGTCACAGTTACCGCCTGCCTCGCCTCTCCCTGCTCCCTCTCCTTATACTGGTCCCACAGGAGGTCTTACAGAGCGTCGTGAGCCTGAGTCTCGTCCTGCGTCGCCTGTTCGTCCTGCTCGCACTGCTAGTCGTGTCCGTCGTGAGCGTCCTCCTCCTGTCCCAGGCACTCACTACATGACTCTGCGTCCCTCTACTGCTCCTCGGCGTGTCCCTCTACCGTCTCCTCCTGCGTCCTCTTTGCCTGACGTTCCGGACCCTGAGTCTGACCGGTATCGCGCTGAGCACCCTACAGTCACGCGTCTCCTCGCTACTGTTGTCACTGACCCTACCTTTGAGTCCTCGGCTGCGTCTGCTCTGGTCGCTGAGTTGGTTGACTTTGCTGCTGCCTGTCGTCTAGACTACGCTGCTAGCCTTGTTGCTGAGTCAGAGTCTGCGTCTGTCTGTCCTCCGTCCGTCGGGGGTGAGTGTGCTCTTGGCACGGACGTCCTTGAGGACAGGCAGGAGGACTTTGACTCTCTTGCGGCTGCTGTACCTCATCTCGTGGCCTGGTTGCTTGCCCCTGAGGGAGACCCGGATGCACTAGACATCCCCACTCCGCGCACTTACGCAGAGGCGATCTCGGGTCCCTACTCCTCTCAGTGGCAGACAGCCATGGACGCAGAGATGGCATCCTGGAAGTCCACAGGCACCTACGTCGACGAGGTTCCCCCTCCTGGGGCGAACATCGTCGATGGCATGTGGATTTTCAGGGTGAAGCGGCCGCCAGGTTCTCCGCCTGTCTTCAAGGCTCGTTACGTTGCTAGAGGCTTCAGTCAGCGTCAGGGGGTCGACTTCTTCCAGACCTTCTCCCCCACCCCGAAGATGACCACTCTTCGGGTTCTGCTGCACGTTGCTGCTCAGCGTGACTACGAGCTTCACTCTCTTGACTTCAGCACAGCGTTCCTGCAGGGCAGCCTGCACGAGGAGATCTGGCTGCGCCGCCCACCTGGCTTTACTGGGTCGTTTCCCCCTGGTACCCAGTGGAGTCTCCGCCGGCCAGTCTACGGTCTCCGCCAGGCGCCACGTGAGTGGCACGACACACTGAGGACTACTCTTGCGGCTCTTGGGTTCGCGCCGTCTACTGCTGACCCGTCGCTGTTTCTGCGCACAGACACGTCGCTGCCGCCGTTCTACATTCTCGTGTACGTCGACGACTTGGTCTTTGCTACTGCTGACACTGAGGCACTCGCTCGTGTGAAGTCGGAGCTGCAGAAGAGACACACCTGCACTGACCTGGGTGAACTGCGTAGCTACCTTGGCTTGCAGATCACCCGGGACAGAGCTCGCCGCACCATCACCCTGACTCAGTCACACATGGTGCAGCAGGTCCTTCAGCGCTTCGGCTTCCAGTTCTCCTCACCACAGGCCACACCTCTGGCTACCAGCCACTCGCTCTCAGCTCCACCTTCGGACGAGTCCGTAGAGCCGAGTGGCCCGTACCCAGAGCTTGTAGGCTGCCTCATGTACTTGATGACTTGCACGCGACCTGACCTCGCGTACCCTCTTAGCATCCTTGCTCGTTACGTTGCGCCTGGGAGACACAGGCGAGAGCACTGGGAGGCTGCTAAGAGGGTGCTGCGTTACCTGTGCAGTACATCAGGCATGGGGCTGGTGCTTGGAGGACGCGACAGAGTTGTCCTCACTGGTCACTCGGACGCCTCTTGGGTGGACGACCTGGCTACGCAGCGGTCGTCACAGGGTTACACCTTCAGCCTTGGCTCAGGTTCTGTCTCGTGGCGGTCCACCCGCTCTTCCTCTGTTCTCAGCTCTAGTTGTGAGGCTGAGATCTACGCCACAGCCATGGCTGCACAGGAGTTACGCTGGCTCACCTACCTGCTGACTGACTTGGGAGAGTGGCCTAGTTCTCCTCCAGTTCTGTACGGTGACAACAAGGCGGCTCTTGCCTTGTGTCAGGAGCACAGACTGGAGCACAGGACGAAGCACATTGCTCTTCGCTACTTTCTTGCTCGAGAGCTTCAGCAGCGCGGTCAGCTTCGGCTTGTGTACGTGGACTCGAAGGCCAACACTGCTGATATCTTCACCAAGGCGCTCCCGCCTAGTGATCATCAGCGGCACTGTACTTCTTTAGGCCTTGTGTCCACGTTTCCTCACTTGCTCACTGCTTGACATTCTTTGTACTGTACTTTATATATATCTTGTTGCTTGCTTGCTAGGTTTTGATCACTGTGTTGCTTGTCTTGTACTATATCTAGCACTGCATGTGAACTGGCCTTGTGGCCTTTACTTGTGCTCGGAGTGTGGTGACGTTGTGATCCACCCTGGGCTTTGTTTTGCTTTGCTGGACTGGTCTTGTGACCCTTTGTTCTCCCCCACTTTGCCTATGGGGGTGTGTTAAACTGTATTATGCTTGTAGGCTGTAGTGGGGTAGCCAATATGGGGTACAACCCCAACTAGGGTTTCATATTTGTACCCAAACTTCTGTTAGTTCAATCATTCTTGCCTAGTGATTCTGACAGCGACGAGCAGGGGCGACGCCCCAGGGGCGCCGCGACGAGCAGGGGCGACACCGCGCGGGTCCCGCAGGGGCGTCGCGACGAGCAAGGCGACGCCGCGCGGGTCCCGCAGGGGCGTCGCGACGAGCAGGAGCGGCGACGAACGGGTCCCGCATGGGCTTCGCGACGAGCAGGAGCGGCGCCTCGCAGGGCGCCGCGACGGGCAGGGTACGGGCGGGCAGAACAGGCCCGCGCGCGGACGTGGGGCAAGCGCGCAGGCGGCGTGAGGGCAGGCCGCGCGCGGGGCAGGAAGATGCCGCGCGCCCGGGGCGCACGGCGGGCTGAAAACCGCCGTGCGCCCCGAGCACACGGCGGGCAGAAAATCGCCGCGCGCCCGGGGCGCACGGCGAGGAAAATGCGCCGCGCGCCCGAGGCGCGCGACAGGACGACAGGCAGCGGAAGCAGACTGGTGGGCCCGTTAAAGGAAGGCAACAGGAAGGTGCCTGCTCTGAATACCAGCAGGAAGGGCGCGTGTGGGGCAGCGCGGTAACTGCAGGTAGGCATGCGTTCGGTGGGCCTAAGAACGGTCCTAACGGACGAACCGCTCTGAAACCATGTTGAATAGGAGAAGGGCTTAGGCTTAGTAGCCTAGGCCAAAGGGGAGTCGAGAAAATTGTCGCAAGAAGAAGTGGTTGAACTAGCAAGCAGGTGGATACACATAGGAAACCCTAAGGGGCCGTACTCACTATAGAGTACCCCACTGCAGGCTAGACAAATTACACATTCTGACAACGCCATCCAATTCATACCCATCATCTAACCTATACAGTGAGGCATTTCACGGGTGCGCACAATTTGTAATCAAGCCTTTCAAATACGGTAGCATCAGTGAATGCCAAATCCTCTCTCCTTACCTGTACCCACCCGCCTCCGTCACGCCTCATGATCCACAATCGTCTGGAGCTTATCCCGCATCACCGACATGCTCGGCCGGTGATCCCAATCGAAGAAGATGGCGAATCGAATGAGCGTGAACACAATGTACACTTGCTTCTTGGTCCACTCGCCGCTTATCCGCGGGTCCACCACCAGCTCGGGGTCCGGGAAGGTCTTGGCCACCACCAGCTTGCGAAGCTCCTGGAAGCGATCCTCGAGGGCGAGGCAGCCCGACACGAGCTCGAGGAGGAAGACCCCGAACGCATACGTGTCAGACTTGCGGCTCAGTTGGCCTTGGGGGGAGAGGAGCGGGCAACGAACGGGATGTGAGGGAGAGGGGGGTTGGAAATGCAAGAGAGTGCGGCATTGGTTGGAATAGCAAGGGAGTCAAGCTTTGGGATTACAAGAGAGTGGCGCATTACATTGCAAGAGAATGGGGGGTTGAAAATGCAACGGAGTCGGCCACTAGGGAGGCAGAAGAGTGGGGCGTTGGGAATGCGAAGGAGTGGGAAATTGGGAATCTGGAGGGTCTGAGAAGCATAAAAGAGGGAGCGAGGAGCAAAAGACAACGAGGATGCATTGGCAGAGCAGTTGAGATGAGCTGACAGACACCCCGCACGGCATGCATGAAATGATCTATAATGAAACGAAAGAGGACGCATTGCAGCCATAAAGAAGATGGATCCAAATAAAAAAAAATGTTCAATAAAAACCACACAGCCTATGGACCAATGATAGAGAGTGAGAGTGAGTGCGATTGAATGCCAATAAAACACGAGCGCAATGTTAGAGGCGCACCTGATTAAGAGTAGATGGGAGGGATCCATACATCCCTTACTACTGAGAGGATCATGTGTGTATGTATGGACGTGTATGAATCCACACATGTGTGCATCGTTAGCCAGTCACCTGTCTGGAAGTAGATGGGGTCCATGTACCCCATGCTGTCCATCACTCACCTGTCTGATGGGGTCCATGTACCCCATGCTGCCCATCACTCACCTGTCTGGAAGTAGATGGGGTCCATGTACCCCATGCTGCCCATCACTCACCTGTCTGGAAGTAGATGGGATCCATGTACCCCATGCTGCCCATCACTCACCTGTCTGGAAGTAGATGGGGTCCATGTACCCCATGCTGCCCATCACTCACCTGTCTGGAAGTAGATGGGGTCCATGTACCCCATGCTGCCCATCACCCGCGTGCTCACGTGCGTTGCCCAGTCCGTCACGGCCTTTGCCAACCCGAAATCTGCCAGCACTGGTGTGAGGTCCTGTGGAGTGTGTGTGATTGGAGAGCGGTGCGAGCAATGCGAGAGATGGTAAAGAGTGTGAGGCATGGTAAAGCGTGTGAGGCATGGCAAAGGGTGTGAGGCTTGAAGCGGGTTGGGTGAGGCAAGGAGGAGGAGGGTTATGAGGCAAGGGGTGCGGGTGTGATGAGGTATGAACTGTTGGAGGAGCACTGGGATCGGCCTAAGGTCCTGGGAAAGGGTCACATGCAAGGATGGCCTGGGAAAGGGTCACATGCAAGGATGGCCTGGGAAAGGGTCACATGCAAGGATGGCCTGGGAAAGGGTCACATGCAAGGATGGCCTGGGAAAGGGTCACATGCAAGGATGGCCTGGGAAAGGGTCACATGCAAGGATGGCCTGGGAAAGGGTCACATGCAAGGATGGCCTGGGGGATTATGGGCGCGCCACCCGCAATGGAACAAACCCTTTTTACTCGGTGGTTAGAGGCTGAGTTTTCCAATATGGTATCAGAGCAAAGGTCTCTTGTTCGAATCCCAGTGTGCACAATAGAATGTGCCTGTGGTCCAAGGCCTACCCCAGTAAAGAGGGGTGTTGGAGGAGCATTGGGATCGGCCTAAGCTTCTGGGAAAGGGTCACAGGCAAGGATGGCCAGGGTGCTATGGGCGCATCATGAGGTTGGCATCATGGATGCAACTGCCACAACTGCCCTTTACTATGCAATCCAATGCGGTTCAGTGCGGTGCAGCATGGTAGCATCCCCCACCTCTCGGAGCAGCACGTTGGAGGCCTTGAAGTCGCGGTGCACGAAGTTGGCGTCATGGATGGTGGCCAGCGCCTCCGCACACCCAAGCGCCACCACCAGCCGCGCCCTCCACGGGAAATGCACTTCCCCTCTCGCCGCTGGCAAAGCAAGGTTTCATGAAAGAGGGGAAGTAGGCAGCAGGTGAAGTGGACGGATTAATGTACGGATGAGGATGATCAGCACACCCCGTCGCCCCTCCATGCACACCCCGTCGATCCCACCAAGCGTGTCCGCCAGGGTTGCACCTCTCTTGGTTGCTGCGCCAGGAAGGTTCTGAGGAGAGGAGTAGTGCGAGGAGGTGATGTGAGCGGCACGCCCAGTGTCCATGCATGTGTCCACGCTTTCCAGAACCTTGCAGGAGTTTACGGATGGTCAGCTTTTTCTAGGAACAAATGCAGCAGCACCAACAGCAAATAAGCAGCAGCAGCAGCAGCAGCAGCAGGAGCAGCAGCAAAAGCAGCAGCAGCAGCAGCAGCAGCAGCAGCAGCAGCAGCAGCAGCAGCAGCAGCAGCAGCAGCAGCAGAAACGCACATCGTTTGAGGAACTCAGTGCAGTCGCCGCGTGGGATGAACTCGTAGACGAGCACGGGCGAGGGCGAGTCGCCCACGTAGCCCAGCAGCTGCAGGATGCGCGGGTGCTGCATGGCTGTCATCGCCGCCACCTCCACCTGCGAGTGGCGAGGTTGTGGGGGAGAGATGGGGCAAGAGTGTGGGGGAGAGATGGGGCAAGAGTGTGGGGGAGAGATGGGGCAAGAGTGTGGGGGAGAGATGGGGCAAGAGTGTGGGGGAGAGATGGGGCAAGAGTGTGTGGGAGAGATGGGGCAAGAGTGTGGGGGAGAGATGGGGCAAGAGTGTAGGGGAGAGATGGGGCAAGAGTGTGGGGGAGAGATGGGGCAAGAGTGTGGGGGAGAGATGGGGCAAGAGTGTGTGGGAGAGATGGGGCAAGAGTGTGGGGGAGAGATGGGGCAAGAGTGTGGGGGAGGGTGTGATGACAGGCACAGCCCAGCAAGGGTGTGATGACAGGCACAGCCCAGCAAGGGTGTGATGACAGGCACAGCCCAGCAAGGGTGTGATGACAGGCACAGCCCAGCAAGGGTGTGATGACAGGCACAGCCCAGCAAGGGTGTGATGACAGGCACAGCCCAGCAAGGGTGTGATGACAGGCACAGCCCAGCAAGGGTGTGATGACAGGCACAGCCCAGCAAGGGTGTGATGACAGGCACAGCCCAGCAAGGGTGTGATGACAGGCACAGCCCAGCAGCTGCAGGATGCGCGGATGCTGCATGGCCGTCATCGCCGCCACCTGAGAGCGAGTGTGCCACATAGCATGGCTGTCATTGCTGCTTCTTCCACGTGCGGGCGGTGGTGGTGGGGAGGGGCACGGAACATGAGTCACGAGGAGTGATCCTCTAGGCTCCTCAAAGCGACAGCGACTGGCCCATACTGCAGGATGCTGGCGTGCTGCACGGCCGCCCCTGATGCCATCCCCACGTTGGAGCAGTGAGAGGGGGGGGTTGTGGGGAGAGATGGGGCATGAGAACAGGGAGGGGCTCATTAGATCCACCTCGGAAGCTGCAGGGTGTTGGGCATGGGGCGTGAAAGAGGGGGGGTGTGGGAGGTACTGTATAGGGCCGTGAGGGGCGGGGAGGGAAGGGGCTGCACCACTCTAAGCTCACTACCACCCCCTCTCTGTCCTGGCTCACGTCTTAACAAGGAGAGCTCAAGCCTTCTGAGCTGTTAGCTACGAGCGTGTGTACTTACTTACAGTGCTTCTTCCTACCTTACCACTCTCCCCTGCCCTCACTCTCCCCTGCCCTCACTCTCCCCTGCCCTCACTGGAAGCGCCTCTGCGCACCTGGAAGCTGGACATGCCTCTGCGCACCTGGAAGCTGGACATGCCTCTGCGCACCTGGAAGCTGGACATGCCTCGGCGCACCTGGAAGCTGGACATGCCGCCGGTGATGTGCTCCGCCGCCATCACCTTCACCGCCACCTCCACCTCGCGCCCGCCCGGCCCTGCGGGGTGCGAGAGGCGCCCGTGGTACACGCGCCCGAACCCGCCCTCGCCCACCACTCGCGAGAAGTTGCCTGTTGCGGCCTGCAGCTCTGCTGTGCTGAACTCACGCAGTGGGGCGGGTGAGCCTGTGGGGGGAGAAGAAAAAGGGGAGGGGGAAGGGAGAGGAGGAGGGAGCGGGGGATGGAGAGGGGAGATCAAAGGGAGGAATTGTAGGTGCGTTGTGCAGCTGTGCTGTGAAGAACTCCGCTAGAGGCGCCCGCTGCTGGGATGGACTCGGTTAATGGGGCTGGTGGGGGGGGGAGGAAAGGAGGGGGATAGGGATGCAAGAATATGTCGCGCCTGTCCCCCATATCGGTTCACACACCGTGGGTTCACACAGCGGGGGTTCACACAGCGGGGGTTCACACAGCGGGGGTTCACACAGCGGGGGTTCACACAGCGGGGGCTGTTGCGGGGGTTGGAGAGAGAGCGGGGGAGCTCTTGTGGCGAGCTGCCCCTCCCCTCACAGTGAGGAATCAACCCCAAGGAGGAGTCAATAGGGAAACGAAGAGGGAAGGAGAAGGCGGGGCGAGAGCTCACACGATTGGGCTCACACAGTGAGGCTCACTGGCTGGGGGTTGTTGGGGCGGAGGTAGCTGGACCGCGGGCTGCTGGACCGGCGGGTCGGTACGGGGTGGGACGGGGGGAGGGGCGGAAGGGACCAGACAGTTGCCCATGCCGCCACGCGCCCCTTGTAACGCGCCCCTTGTAACGCGCCCCTTGTAACGCGCCCCTCGTAACGCGCCCCTTGTAACGCGCCCCTTGTAACGCGCCCCTTGTAACTCGCCCTTGTAATGCGCCCCTTGTAACGCGTCCCTTGTAACGCGCCCCTTGTAATGCGCCCCTTGTAACGCGCCCCTTGTAAGCCGCCGCTTCCAACGCGCGTGCGGCCCTGGTAACGCGTGCGGCCCTGGTAACGCGTGCGGCCCTGGTAACGCGCTCCTAACAGACTCTCGGAGCTATCATCTAGGGTCGGTCAGCGCTGCCGGTCGGTAGGGTCGGTGGGATGGGCAGGGGCAGTGGGCGGGGTGGGCGGGCGGGGTCCGTGGGTACTTGTAATGCCTTCTTCCCACCTCTGGTCACGATCAGTCTTTCACGAAATAAATGGCCTTTAGCTTTATTGCATGAGAGGCAAATGCCGTCACGTGAAACATCGCGCGTTACCGACCCGCGGAGTGGGCGCGGGTTGTATAGACGCGCGGCGCCCGATAGCGTGGAGTGTACTATGCGGCGGCGATTTGGGTTGGACGCAGTAGGCCGTTACAGTGCTAGGTGGGGAACGATTCCGCAGCCCCTGCAAATCCGTCCCGTTGAGTTGTAGACGGAAGTGTCTGGATGCCTTTCACTAGCCCTTAAAGAAAGCGGCTGAATGCCACTACGTGAAAGAAATGAGTTGGGAAAGACGAGTCGGCGGAAGAGCGGAGAGGGATGGAACTGGCGGAAGCGTTCCCGTCAGCTCAGCGAGCTTCACCCTTGGCTAACGAACGACCTCGCGCCACACCTCGTAGACAATGCTCCCTCCCGCTGGAGCGTCCGCGAGTCACCGAGCGAGCTGCTGTGGCGCTCGCGAAACAGTTACACGCGACGCGCGTCTGTCGCGAAACACTCGACACCTAATTCACGCTCGGCAATTCGTTCACCGAAGTTGTCAAGCATCGCTGCACCCTCTCTAACATTATTGTCAAGCGGCATTTACGGCATGAACCGCGGTGTGTGCATCATGATGGGGTTGACGAAGAGCCGTGGCATAGCGCACGTATTGCATCACCTCTTGGAACCGAGGATTGCCCGATTCCGCTTCCACGCTGGATCGAGAATGTGCCGCTTCGTCACGAAGCATGAGCACAACGGAGATAAAGTGTTTTGAGAATAATAACCCTCCAAAAATATATAGAACCCAGAATGCGAACCACTCGCGGAGGGCGTAAAAAAGTTTTGGGCATCCTGAGTTCCCAGGGCGAAAAAATACATGATTTCCAAGGGAAAAAACTCTCAAAGGCAATACAAAATTTAATGGCACTAGCTGGATATTACGGTTTTCAGTTATGCAAGGGCAATCGTTTAAACATTTTTAGGTACCGTATTGACTTTAGATGCTTAAATCTTTGTACCGTATGGCCCAGGACCAGGGCTGCCTTAAAAAAAAAAAAAAAAAAAAAAAAAAAAAAACACTCACGCACACACACACATACACACACACACACACACATACACACACACACACACACACACACTCCGATTTTGGGGGGCTATAGACTGCGGCATGTTTTCCTAAAAGATGACTACTCCTGATTTCAGGATTCACAAACCTACAAGTCTGAAGTACACACACGAATCACTGAAGTATAGACACGAATCAGGACGGAGACGTGGTGTAACGAGCAAAGCAGATATACTGGCCATTACGCATCTGTGAGCTATACATGTCAAGCCACCTGATGAGGGATGCGCTGCGCTCGCGATACACAGTAAAAACGCATTATCCTCTAAGTTAGTAGCCTGATTTTTCCAGTATCCAGAAAAGGTCAAGACTAAAGTGCTCATGCTGATATAACTGAAGGATCAAAGTAGATAGAATAAGGCTGCTAAGTTGAAAGAAGATCATGAAGTCTTTGTAGTGACCTTGTTGATAATAATAAGAGAACAAGATACGTGATAGATCGAAGTACAAGGGTATAAATAGCAACCTATCTAGCCATGTACTTTGAGGGGTACATTCACTTATCAACTATAATGCATAGCTATAGTAACTGCGGCTATTGCCTTTCTTGACATTTACCATATTGCATCGTATAACATCTAATGCGGTTACGGGTTGATCAACAGTCGGGACCATTGACTAACAGCGAGTGTTGACCTTCGGGTGACTCTTAAGCTGACGCGCGCTCTATATGAGCTATTACCAACTTGTACAGTTGCGGTGCTTCGTTATGAAGTGGCGTGCTAGGAGAGATCCTTCAGGATTGTTATGATAACATTTTGGTTATTCCAACACTCCCCTTCATTCCTGAAGGTGAGCCACGTGGGACCTTTCTTCGAGATCCCGCAAAGGTCGGCGCAGTGCTGGAACTTCTGACGTGGCAGTTTCTTCGTCAGGAAGTCGGCTGCCATGTCACCGGTCGGGCAATATGTGAGCTTGACCTTTCCTTTGTCGATCTCGTCCTTGACGAAGAAGTAACGGAGTGCGATGTGCTTCGTGCGGTTCACGAACCCGGGCTTGTTCGCGATTTCGATCGCGCTTTGATTGTCGCAGAGTAACGTGAAGTGCCCGT